TTAATTTTGCAATTAACCTAAGAAACCAACACCAGCGCTTCAGTATTTAAATAAACTGTGAATATTTTGCTTGTGGTACATAAAAGGATGGGAGCCAGTTAAAAATCCTGAACATGAATTTTAGCAATAGGTAGTACCTTCCCCATAATACAGATAGGCACGCGCTAATTACCAGGAAGGATAAATAACTCCACGACCCAACCCCAAAAAATAATCATTACCTAAACCGTACCTGTAACCGTTATGGTAAATGATGCTGACCAATCGTCTTACGCGACCTACTCATCCGATTATGGCTTGAAGCCCAAAATATACTCCCTTAGACAGTATACCTTCAGACAGTAATATTAGACATTAATATCTTCAGAACCAATCATTTTAATTCCTTCAAACTGTGTCGAATATCGTGAGTTCAATTTGCTTGTGTACTATTAAAAGTGTCCGACTCACGACATCCACTCCAGAACGAAAACGGTATTGCCAAGCTTACTCTAATCAACCCAGGCCTAAGTTAATAAAATAGTCTGTGTACAGCGCCTACGAGTTTTTTTCGCAAGTTCTAGTCATCCGGCTAAGGCCATCCATCAATCCGTCAATTCGCAATCCTTCAATTCCTAACGCTTCATAATTTTCAATGCTCAATTTAGTGGCTTTTCCATCACCGACATTCCCATTTGCGTTTTTCGGGATGTAAGCAACACAGGTTTTCTCATTCCTTCGGCAAATTTCATCCGAATGTCAGGTCAGCGAGAACATTTGTGATTCTACGTTCATGTCCCGATGCGTAATGCATAGGTTGTAAAGAGAAACTTAAAATTTGTTGGACCAAGGTTGAGGTTTCTGAAAAATATAGCATCTATACATTGACTTGCTTCGCACAACCGAATTTGGGAGGCAAATAAGGTAGGACACTTTAACAACAGCTGTTTTTTGCATACAATTCCACTTACCTAATCAAATTTGTGAACTCTCATCCGTTGTTTGGTGCCTTTACGATCTGTACGCTATATCACGTGCTTTTAAAACTTTTCAACATACAAAATAATATTTACTAGCTTCACACAGATAGGAGGTACTCAACGCTACCAATAAACGAAAGAATGTGGCAGTAAGCAGCAGCCCCAAAAATCTGTATAAAAAATAAACATCTCAAAAACTTTTCCTTCATAAATCGTGTGTCAAACACTACCGTAAATAAGGCGATCATTAATATCGCACAAGCAACCAGCGTAATTTCCCTTGTCATCCTATGGGATAAATTTTAACTTTCTAAACAACGAACAGTGTATTGAAGGAGTCATAAGAACACCTGAATGCCTTTTTAAAATTATTATCCGCTTTTAGAAGGACTGGTTCCACATTGTTGTACTAACCTCTGCCACACAACACAAATTCCACAGAACATTTTCCAGAAGCAGATTTTGTTTTTTGCCTCGAAGTGACAGGTTCTGTGATCCGACAGTCATACAGAGGTAATTCCTTGTTTTGGAGTAGGAATCACTACTTGAAGCGGACTTTATTTCAAAACCACTTTCACACGGACGAGACTGCAGTCTGAAATAAAAGCCATTAGTTGGTGATCCTCCGGGTGGTTTTCGTGGTCGCAGTTGTTGTGGCAGTCCACACACCTGGCAGATGACTGCATTGTTCTGTGGACTTTGGTGGTCCCTGGTCTTTATGGAGAAGTTGTTTTGATCGATTGAAGCTTCTGGAAGGGGAATTGTTGATGAGTTAGAGGAGGAAAAGGATTGTCGCCATGGGCAGCCGTACTCGTTTGCCATCCTTAAGAGCACCTTAACCCAGGCACTGACGTCATTGAAGTGCTTTACGCAGTTAGACAACGTAGGTGTATTACCCTGCATTAGTCGTTTGATGGCGATAAACTCTTTCAACTGCAAAAGAGCCGGAGTAAAAATTTAGAGTTACTGCACTTTCACAAATGCACATATGCGAAATACGTAAATGTCTGGGTGAAGGCAAAAAGAAAGGTTCCATTTTGGAAAACCAATTTCCTTGTAGCACATGTTTAACGATTAGTAAACGCAAACACCCAGAAAAAGAAACTGTTGACAACAGAAAATTTTACATAAATTAATCAATCATGTAAAAGCAGTTCGTTTTCGGGGCTGCGAAAAGAGACGTCAATCCCATGACGTGTCAAGCAAATAACTGAACGATGAACTGTGGGGTGCCTGTATACAGAAAGACCATGAATGCAACGAACATCCGTAGGGTCATAATCATTAGCGTAGAATGAAAGGTCATTCGAAGAGTACACATAAGCTAGCTAGTTGGGATATAATTTTATAAAAAAATGGCTATATCTTTCCCGGAAGCAAAAAAGTAAATGGCAAGACAGAGCCCGTATATAGTATGAAACACCTTACAACCAAAGAGGTTCATGGCACAAATAGCAAATTGAACAAGGCAAAGGCAACGACATTCGCAGGCTTTAAGATTGTCATAGAATTTCGTGACCTCTTATTCCGCAGCATACGATCATTTCCAATTAAGATGAAAAAATATAATTTCCAATTTACTATCGGCCTAGATGGCTGACAATTGGTAGGCAAATAATGCGTGAGTGCGCATGGCGAGAGGGAAGAGGAGGGGTGGCAATAGTTATCGAAACAAGACAGCTCAGGTCGACGACTGCCCCGCCCCCTTCCTCTTCCCCCTCACCATGCATACACGCTTTTTAGACCAACAGCACATGCTTTATTTACCTATCAAGTTTCAGCCCTCTGGGTAGAAAACTAACTGGACAGTTTGCTTTATCTTATTAATAGGCAGTGACCGCATGCAGTTGAATGAGAGGTCAAGAAATTCTCTGACGTTCTTAAATCCTGTGAATCTCCCTGTCTTTTCCTTATTCAAATTTCTTCTGCGAAAACCATGTTTCAATTACAAATAGCAATATCGTTAACCGAGAAATAGCAACCGTCAGCAATTGATACAAGCGTAATAAAAACAGACTTAAGCTTACTGCGCAGTTGGACGTTAGTGTTTTGATTACTTCTATAACTACAAATACGGATGAAAAAGTAAAATACGTTTCACGAACACATTTAGGCCGCCAGAAGAGAAAACAACCCCTCCTGGCTGCCCACAGTCTATGATAAAATAACATCTCAGATATCATTGCCAAATCAATAATTAAATTCGGTATAAAGGAGCGCGCGAGGGGACCAAGGATTGTCGGCACAGGAAGCATAGACAAGTGTGTCGACCTTCATTCTGCTTAACGAGGCCTGTCCAAATAAGCTGCAGTACATAGACTAGCTCCATGATTGGCAAATATCGCCAAGGTCATCCATAACTGTCGCAGAGCTTGAAATAAACTGATTGGCTAGTGCCTGGATCGGCCCGTTTGCTATGTTAACTTTCGCACCCTTGACGCTGCACTATAGAAGCAGTCGTGGCACAAGACAAAAATTAATTTTTTCCATTATTGAATCGTTTTTTCTTCTTCTAATAGTGATTTTAAATATATATTTTCGAAAGTTTGGGTGAGTGATTAGCTTAAACGCGATTCTCCTCTTGTATTCCTGAAAGATATTTTGTGATTTAAACACGTTTGCGCGAGCAGCCACACATCACTAAATGGCCTTTTAAAAGAAGACTGTCTTCACTGCAAACATTGAATTCTCAGCAGGACATTGGAGCAAGAACACTCCTGTTGTACAAATACACATGAAATAAATTCTAGGACGATTTAATGTGCTCGTTTTCAAAACCTTGCACCAACGATAACCGAGTCTGAAATCCTTACCCTAATCTTACCCATTTCCTTACCCCCACCCCATATTTTACCTTAATTCTAACCCTAGACATAATCCCAGCCCTGATCCTAACCCTTATCGTAAATGTAACGATCATACCCATGGCATTTAACACAAGGCCATCTCTATTATTGGCGGATCCTGTTTCTATGCCCTGTCGAAAGACCATATAATCATGCCTCATCCCCCAGAAGTAAGCGGTCAAAGCTTGCAGTAAAATACGAGACAATCGAACATATCTTCATATTAATGTTTGTAATTTTCAAGTAAATTAATGGTATTTTAGTCAGCTTTATGGAATATGCGAGAAAATGACCTCAGTGGATCATTAATACATATGTGGTTTGGTGCAATTGCGTAAGTTTTTCACAGTAATAACTGAGCGTACTATATAATCAGTGTAAACATGCCCATAATTGATCAGTCAACTCAGAGAACCAATGAAACATATCCAGATTGACCAACTTAATTTGAAATCTATTTTCTTGAAGAGGATAAGCTGTAGCCTTCAATTCTTTAGGAAAATTAGAAGAACAGGTATACACCTGATTAAGTAAGAGAGGTGACTGATTAGCTACTATATATAATTATCGGGATGTACAGGCAACTGAAAATTAAGGTACATTGATTATCCCAACGTTTACCACCTAAGCTTGCTTAAATGTGGGTGTACACGACTATTACCCAACAGCTAAATACCGGTAGTCTTTCTGAGCAGAGGGAGTAAGCATAGGTTTAGCACTCCTAGAAGACCTCTTTAGGGCACGTCAATTCCTTAAAAATTTCGCCAAACATTCCCTCTAAAAAATACAAAGACCAAGAGACCTGATAGAATGAAGTACGCTGACGTTCAAAACATTAATTATATTCACAAGACGATAGAGTTAGTAAACATTATGCTGAAAGAGGAAAAATTCGGATAGCTTCAATAATTTTGACTAGAACCCATGAGTGAGCCATAAAAATTGGATGAATAACTACCAGTTTTTTTTAGTGGGCGAACTCAAAATTCCGAGAAGCGTTGTCCTCGTGAGGTCTACACCAATGTTCTTTCGACAGAAAAAATGTAGAGAGACACGTAATTCGAATTAAAAATAGTTTGGCCGGCTTATGCAAATTTCATATGATGTACTTGCACCTGACCAGAACACATGCTCTAAATGCCGTGGATCTTGGCATGAAGCGAAAGAGTGAGGCGAAAATATAGCAAAGTAATTGCAACTGCCGCATACGAAAAATCATGCAAACACACAAGAAGCAAAATGGGTAGAAGAATCTAGTTGTTCTGCACTGACGGCTACACTTGCTAGGACGACGGAGGAAAGAAGGTTGAAACGCTGGAACGAGAATCATATTAGCCAGGAGTTTCGGATTTCCACTCAGAGACAGTCCTAGAGAAGGTTCGGGAAGTCAGAAGGAGTTCAATGCTAAAAGGACCCAGCTGCAACCAAACAACATATATATAACATATAGTAAGCTTCACTTTTAGCACTACAGACTGTAAGTGATGTGATAAATGTTAGTTATTCCGCACAGGAGTCTCTACTGACAAAGATTTAATCATCCATGTTGACAATTGGTATGATAATTACTCGTTAATTTTGCTCGCTATCACTGTAAGTGATGGCCGGATTTGTACTCCTCACATGACTTATTCATCTGCCCAGTGTTAATTTCAGCACAGAATATGGAGTTCCGAGGTACTTATACTTCTTCATGGACTGTGGGTCCGAGATTCTTGATTTAAATAACTCTCGGCTGACGCGATTGTCACCTCTCGGCCTTGACAAACTTACAAGTATGGCCGTGTCCCTCGAATGAGCCGTGATCTGATAGTTTGCGTCATTCGTCGTCACTGGTGTATGTTACACGTTCGTCTATTTGCATTTGAAATAACTGCCATGTTCACCTGATGTGGTTGCATTATCTGCAACTGTACCAGATCCGTTAAATGATTTCACATATTTCCTGCAGCAGGAATAGCTCTTTCAGCCTTTCGGCCTGGCGCCTGATGGTTGCGTCGTGTCTTCTTGCAACCCTCACTCCGACTGGTGTGAAAAGGTGGCTGAGGACTTCCAATAGTTTTTTGTTATGTTGGGGAGTATTCGTCAGAATTCTAGACCGGATGGACAGGGTTCCTTGTCTCGTTTGCACATGTATCAGTTACCGGAATTGCTCGGGTAACTATTCGTTCTAGGCATACGTCGATGATATCGTAAATCATCAGCCTTGGCTTTATTTCACTGAAATACATCGCAAAATAGTGGGTAATTGTACACCGATCTGTTTCACGATGTACTCACCCCGGTTGACGCCTTTGCCGTAATACATAAAATCTCAAAATGCTAGTATAGCACACTTAAGCAAGTGCGTTTTTGATTGACTGTTTAGTCTGTGTTAAAATTCGGTATGTATAATCTTATCTACGCTCTGTGGCCCAAATCTTTGTATCTATATCCGTCACCAGCGATGTGTTCGAGTGAAAATGCTGAACATTAGGCCAATAAACTTCCTGTTCCAATGGTCACATCTTCCAAAGAGTAGCTTTTTATACATTGTCTATTCCTTTATATAGAAAGCGACTAACAGTTTTACTGCTGAAAGCACAAATACGTGAATGTCTGAGACGTATGAGTCCATGCAAATTTATTTCCTTTAGCTTTGAGCCTGAGATGCGGGATTTTTATACCGAATGGTTCCACTGATCAAAATGGATGTGAATGAATAGTGGTTTGAGGGTATATGCTGTACGAATTTGAAAGAGTTCAGTGTATTGGAGGCCACGTATTCTGCATGATATTCGGGAGTTTGATATCCAAAAGCTCTACAGATAACTCGCTAAGTCATAAAAGGACGTTTTAATTATTTTGAATCTTCCAATCATACGGAGCAAGAACACTTTTGTGTGGCAGCTGCTTAGGCGCAGCTAAAGTTGACATTAAATGCATATCTAGGAAACAGCTGAGAAGGTTCCTGTAATACCAACTTTCAAACTTTGATGCGGTACGTAGACACAATCAAAAGATGGTTTGCACTTTCAAACGATGCTTGGTGAGATACTGTTTTGGGACAAGAAACAGCGAAAACACTTATTCACTCTAACTCGCCTTTCAAACTCAGACAGAAACACAACTGGCTAAAAGCGTGGCTTCACCAAGTTCTTTTATTTTTCTGGCTGGAGATAAGCATCGAGGGTATCTTTCCACAAACAGCAAAGCTAGGACTGATAAATTCAGTTGTCATTTGAGTGGATTTCGCCGGACACTATAAAAGCCGGCAATCATTAAGTGCTGTCGAGTTGAGATCCTATCGATCGATGCACAACTCCATATTCTAAAACTTTATCTAGATTTCTTGATCACATTTTCTGAGGGTCCACGTAAAGCGGTTTATGCAAATTATTTGGTTGTATGGTATTGCGATATTGATAGCATTTAAAAGAGTGAGTAATTACTACGTATAGTATGTCTATTACCATACAGAATTAATATTTACCGAAAACCCTATTAGGTTTTCCCGTAACGATTACTTATATGGCCCCGTCTGAGGTATTACATCGGTGGTCATTAAGAGTGACTGTACGACCTACTTACTAATCTCTTCGCACCAATACAAACTATCTGTTGATGGAAAGCAGGTGAGCAGTACGGCCTTGTTCCAGTTCTTTGCTAAGCGTTGCACTCTGATGGCTCCATCCAATAAAATCAGCCTTCTATATGACCTGCAGCCATCTTTAAAAATGTTCAAACTCGACCTTTTTGCTTACAAATGAAGATATTCACGTATTTTTTCCTTTTTCGCTGATCTCAAATCCAATAATTTTATCGTGCCGAAATAGAATGCGCTATATGTTAAAAATTATTCAGCGTTCTTGCAAGGGTTTTTTGTCTTTCCACGTACAGCTCTGATCAAGATATTTAACTAAGAGTTATTCTAACATATTTGGATAAAAATATCTCTGTTTTGGTGAAATAGCTCACATTAAACGCATTTATACTGTTATCATGGGGAAGAATAGATTACGTTAGATTACTATTTGCACGACCATTAAAACAGTCGTAATTTTAAAATGTACTTTAATATCAGACATGATCGCAGACCAATTTATTGGCTATATTCCCTCTGGAAATTATTGCGCACACGTATGCTGTCCCTGGTCACAGATAGTGGTCAGCATGTTGATTAGATTTAAAAATGATAAATTCGAAAGATACTGCATCAACTATCCTTTATTTTATGTCCCCTATTACCTTGGTACCAGACTGTAATACCTTTTCCACATTAGCCAGTGTGTGCTCTATTAATGTATATTCAAACATTTTAGGCAGACTTACATCGATTTTCTGAAAGTGCGCTTCCTCGTTTAGCGTAATTTGTTCAGCTATTTCCTGCGTGTCGAAATGAAGAAATTTATGTAGCCTGAAAGAAATGCAAATATAGTATAGAAAAGTATTGCAGAGTGGAATATAAAATAAAATATTCCAAAATGTTCCAAAATACTTACCTCTCCTGACAAGAACAATAATTTATGGGACCTGCCGGAACCGACGAAGTTGCTGTCTTTTCCGCAGGAACTCTGACCCTGCACTTATTTACACCGGTTTCACCTGTAACTTTCAGTCCGCCTGCTGAGTATGGAATAAGTAGGAGTAATTTATTCGCCAAATCTTTCAGCTGTTTTGGTAAGGGTTCGATGCATGTATCTTCTGTATCCTGTTCACTTGATGCTGTTTGATCCCTCATAACTGGTATTTCCACGTCCGGTGCATCGTTTTCCTTGAGACCGTTGATCCAGTTAGCATTGATCGGCCCATCTGAACTTGCACGCTTTTGCGCACTTTTACTGTCCATCTGGAGGACTCGAGCATAATGAACGATCTTCAGCATGAACTGAGACGAGAATTCGTCTGACGCAGCTTCCGACAGCTGAATGAAAGGAAACTATCATTTTCCATATAACAGCTGGGTGCCATTGGGCCAAAAGTTTACATAAATGAAGAGTTTTTCTATTTTGATACTCATTGGTTCTAGCAAATGGTTGTTAACCAAAAGGGGGTCAAAGGCGGGCATGTTACATTATGATGACGTACACTGCTACTGAAGAACTTTCGGTAATTTTTTTCTTTTAAATATTTATTAAGGGCTTGACAGCAAAGATTACTGACGTAGTTGCAGCAGACGAAAGTTTAAGGGTTTTGATCGTGCAAAATAAACTAAATTTTCCAGAATATCTGTCAACGATGTTAGCATTGCTATGATAATTAGCAAAATTTTAACTTATCGGCAACAGTGTTTCGAATTATAAATCCCGCTCTGTAAATTTTATCGATTGCGAATGGGCAAAAATGTCTTGAGCGGCTTTTGTTCCCTTTTTACCAAATGGTGCTATTTTAACTATCTTAACAATGGGCCGGCCTTTGCCTCAATTTCGTGAGCACTCAAAACTGCACAAAAGATATTCTTCTTCAAATCGAGACTCACTAACTCGGAGCGCGTTAGTTGCGCAAATTACTGGTACTTCTAATTTGTCGTGAGACGGCTTCCATCGAAGCATGAAAGGTCCATGGAGGACTTTGTGTGTCCCTCGTATTGTTAAGTGCGCTAATCATCTATGGATAAGCTCCTATACTGCTACCCAATAAATGCTGTCACTTGTCCAATTTTATAATTATTTTTGGGCCATTACATATATGGGCACCAGTTAGTTGTTCCTCGCAGATGGTATGAACTACCATTGATTTGTACGGACATCTATGTTTATGCATTATAAAGCCATTATTTAATAACATATAACGACCTTCACCGTTGTTCTAATGTATTGTGAGTAGCTTGACCAAAGGTACGGGATCAGCCTTATTTATCATCACTGCACCTATTGAATTATCAGTTTTTTTATCTCAAATGGGTAGCATTTGAGGGAAGGGCGTGAAAGATATCAAAAATCTTTGTCAGAGGTTAAATTCATGTGGAATTTGAGCAGCTAAAGTCGTGTTTCACTCATCTGTTGTTTAGGAGTTAGTGCAGAGACCTCTTCCGTCCCTACTCAGCTTTCACTTTTCCTGAACAAAGCCATTATTTATACTGGATGCAAGAGTGAGCATTCCTTACACTTTTACTGCTAATCAGCCTTATTGCCGAGTCATAATTGAAACAGTCCATAACAGTGAATAAAACCATACTACTCACATTTTGTTCATACTATTTTAATGGTGACAATCCAAAAGACCGCGTGCGCAGATGCATATGAAGCACCGAAAAATAAACAGTAGGGTTTTATAAGGCATTGGCTGTCTTCCTCGCCGAATAAATTGAACATATCATGGAGTCTTGGTAAGTAGCTAATCTAAAAAAACAAAATTCTTAGTACAGTCACTATGAGTACGAAAACACACGATAAATGCGGGAACTGTTGATATGTATGCTGTTGAACAAAAACTTTATCCTATAAATGCTGCAACTGCAACAGGAGCCCACTTCCCCTCTTCGAGGGAGAATGCACTGCACATCCTTTTTCCGAAGACTGGACCTCTGTCCTCTGTATTAAACCCATTATTTCGAGTGTACCGAAAAATTACTATTCATATTTCTGCGTGCAGGCAAAAGACCCTAAGAAAGGTTAGAGCTTGCATTCTTCTCTTCAATGAACATGAGTTAAATGACTTACCACTTTAACAAGAAAGCGAGCTGTGTTTAGTGCTTCCATCCATGCTCCTTCGGCTGAATGTTGTTCACCATCCACAAGACACCCCAGTCCACCAGGCTCAATCGGTGCAAAAGCAATGTACCGCTGCATTAACCGACAAGCCACTTCATTAACGGTGGTAAACGTCGAGTAGAGTTTTAAAAAAATGTCCGGGACCAGGCTTTCATAAAATTCTAAAAATACAAAGTGTAACGAATTTTATCCGCAATTGGTTCAAGGAGGTAAACGGGATATTTACATTCAAATTAATCTGGCGATCACTATATACTACAATAAAAACCGAAACCTAGTCAAAAATACATGGGCGGGAATAGAGCCTGCTATCAGTTACAGAAAGCAAAGTTGTGCTTTTGAAAATATTGACTTTAAATACATCCTCAGTTTTTCCTAAGACGCACAGTTAGCAAAAACCCTGTCATCAGACCATATTATAACAACACAAATAATTTTTGAAAACGTGCCTCCGCAGGTCTCCTTATTTGCAGTCATTGCGACAGATACCCATGGTAACAACGTTTTGGTAGGCACTGTTAGACTACCACGACAACCGCTTTGTACAAAGATATAAGCTTGTCGTGGACTGAGGGTGGCTCATATATCCCACTAATCATGACAGAAGAGGGAAATAGAGTGAGTTTTAAAGTTTGCATAGGGGTCAGATGAGATTAAATGTTTATTGTAGGGTTGGAGATAATTGCAGGGCTACGGTGTATGTTTATGTCAGACTTTGTGTTAGTGTAAGGACATGGAAATATTTAATTTCTCTGAAATTATGCACAGGGCCAACTGTTGTTATTTGGGCGCGAAGTTCCTATTCTCGTGTCCTATTTAGGGGATCATATAAATCATCCATAATCGCTGTAGTAAACTGCGTGCCCTGTAAGACGACCTTAAGTACCTCTGAAACCTCTTTTTAGTCCAGGGATGGCCCAGAATGTGCGTTGATAGAATTCTTCGTCTAGACTATAAGACCACAAGACTATTACTTATCTTTTTGCAATGAAATATAGATTAAACAGTCCACTATACCTTCCTCACAAGAATGTCTTAACCGTCTGTTGGCATTCGTAGATCAGGAAGACTCATTTACTACGACCACAAAATCATCGTCAGCTTTAGCTTAAGTTATGATTTTGATAAGTTTAAACCGGTTGTAGAAACTAGCAGACACGTTGAAAACAAGAACGGTTGGGCGGGGCGAGATTCCGCAGATGTATGGCTGCCATACCATATACCTCAGAGCAGGAGTAATTTAAACGTCGGCAAATGCGGGGACCCGATTAGCCTACAAGAAGTGCAACCGTCGAATGATTACCTGAATGCTCATTAAATCTAAGGCCTGAAAAGTATATGGCTGAGCATCAGTAGGTGGCCAAGCACTGTAACCATATGACCTGCCTGCATTTTGCAAGCTCTTGAAAAGCAAATTAAGTCGCTTGGACAGTTTAGGATCAAATCATACGCAAACGACTTGATCCGGAGGCGGCGTAAGAATGGCACTTTTTTTTAAAATCCCTTCTAAGATTTTCAATAGATAAATGGTTCAGATGTATGAAAGCTGTTGAATCTTTCAATAATTTTGCCGATTGAGAATAGTAGCGAGCGATTTATGTTCCAGGCTAACCTACGTATTTCTGGAGATTGGCCATAAAGAATATGAGCAAGGTGCAAGGTTCCATTTTGGACAGTTTATTCTTCAATCCAGGAAAAAATGTGCTACCCAGACGAAAACCGTCAACAACAACTCAAGTCTTTATAGACTATCTTGCAAATAGTTTCCCAGTTGTGATGGTGAACCTTCAGGAGCTCTCCGGCATTCATTGAGTATGATTTCGCTTATGTCCCCTTGCCTGGGAAAATTTTACGAGCTGATCAGATTTTTCTCGAGCATCGAGGATGGTGTACAAAAAAACTGTTTAAGGCAGCAATGCGCAGAGAAAAAAAGTAAATAACTACATAGTTTTCCTACCAAGTCTGTTTATGCTAAGCCTAAAATAGCAGTTTAGCTGCTATGGCCATCACAGGTTTCCGTCTGCCTATTGTATGTGGAGCCTTGTGCAGCTGTTCTGTTTTAATAAGATGCGTTTTCATTTTGACTTTGTTACTTGCAGCTTTATATGGAACGAACTGGTGTGTGTATGAATATGTTTGTGAGGTATTTGATTTTAAAGAGTTTGTATATCTCGAGTAGATTATCGTCAATATAAACTGCTCACACCAAGGAATCCAGTTCCCTAAATGTACGCCCCTATTCTTCAGCTAAAAATTGCCTGGCACAGCTTTATATCATACGGTTGAAAAAAGTTATTTTAGCTGGCCAGCTCATAATTACCTTTAGATGAGGCTTCAACCGCACAGAACGCAATATTCAAGTCTCCATAGACAATTTCGTGCAATATACTCCGAGGAATTCTCCATTTCCATCCAGCGCATTGGAGCAGCTTTAAAAATTATCGAATTTCGTTAATAAGCGCTCAAAGATGAGTAAGGGGACACACTGGTCTCCTTATTCCTTGAAGTGCATGCTCAAGCCCTGCAAAGCGGCCAGTATTGTTGGCAGATAAAAATCATTGGCAAAGACAAGAATGAATAGAATGGCCATTTACGGCTCATTATCCGGCATCAGCCAGTTATATCCAACCTAACGTTGTGCGCCTCCGGAGGCTCGAACGCGCGATCTGTTCATTTGAAGTCAAATGCTCTAACTATTGAGCAACTGGCTCGTTGTCTTGCCAGGTTAAATCAGAAATATTGGAATTCGTTGACGAACACTCCATAATTATTAACGGAACACACTCATCTCGATGTCTTTTATATGCAGCAGTATTTCTTTCTGATGACTCACGAAAGTGAATGATCGCCCGCCTCAATCAGTTGAAGAATTTTGGTTTTTTGTCTCACTTCTTGTATATTATAAGTAAACGTAAAACTGGGTTGCTTGGAGCTATCTGATTACTTAACACGGGATGCTTTCTACAGGATCCCAGCATCATTTGTTGGGAGACATATATAAGAGCTTATTGTTGGTCGCCTCCAGTCGCGTGTATGGTTTATTATATTCCAGTTGAGCAAGATTCTTTGGTCGGACAATGCAAAGTTTTGCAAGAGATTTAAAGAACTCTATTCGACCTGGGAACCAGAGAAATATATCGAGCTCTATCCTTCAGCTCTTTATTGACACAAGGCACCGAATAGTTATCAACAAGTCCACTCAAACACGTAAAAGGAAGCCCCATTACTGAAAAATCTTGTTGCCAAAATGCACAATGTCGGCTGTAGGAATCGAAATCCAGTGAATCAAAGGATTTCCTATTGGCTCTACGTCTAGCCTTAACGCCCATGTGCTCCTTCAGTCCTGTGTAGGTTTTTGCCCTCTCCATAGTTATTCTCCAAACGACGTAATATTTGACACTACCACTCATCCAGCCACTTCTCCTCCAACTAGTAATTAGCCCTGTTATGGAAGAATAATTCTCTCCTGTAATTAAACAAATTAGGTCAGGTCAGTCGCATAGAAATCTTAAGAATTAGGAAATATTAAAAGATATTACAGCGTTGAGTGAATTTACACAAACATTAACATAGTATAGGGTAGTTTGCCGTTAAATAGTCACATAGACCAATTGGTACTACAACATATGTCTGCAAAGCCCCCGTGTAAACTTCTTCACAGAATGGCTTTGTTGACCTCATTTTGAAGTACCAGTGTTCGATGAAATCGCAGTCAGCCCGTATGTCTCGAGGGCAACCCTTTTATGTTTCTTTTGGCACAATTCCTGTCGTCAACTGTGTTTCTTTAACTTGACATAGCGACAGCCCTGACTAGTTTGTTGCCTCAAGGACAGTGAAAGGTTGGAGTACTACTCACAACCTTCTTACTAAAAAAACTGTAAATTGTTTTGGAAGAAACGTTTAATATGTCACTAGAATTTTGTTGATTTCGGCTATATCGGCTCCTTTTGACATCCTGTAATTTATTTCCTTATCAGTTGAAGAACAAGATTTCCGCCCACGCACAATGCGAAAGTTCGCATTCAGAAAGGCAACTATACTTAAACGATATTTTGTTATTTCCATTGAGAGATTAGTTATATCCTCATATAGGATAAATTCTAGAAAAAAATGACTAGCAAAAAGGAATTTGTTACTTTCTCCACAGCTTTGGAAAAAATTACTTAAAATGAAACCCCTAATGGCAGAAAAATATAAGCTTCAATTGAGATTCTGTTCTTCAATCAATAGTAGATTTATTTTTGAGATGCTTTGTATGCACGCCTACCTAAAGTCTCAAGTTTTATAGCGAATCACAGCTCGCGAATGCCTAAAAGAGGAAGAATTTATAGTACTTCGAAATGCTTTCCCTGCTCATAGGATAATTAATACAGATTTTTTCATTGGTACCACGTTGCCTGTGTGGTTGAACGCCAAGTTGAAAAATGTATAGACTGTTCAATGCAAGTACTAGAAATCCACCTTATGCATATCATTTAACGTTTCATCCCATTTAATATATTTCGCTATCCATTCACAAATAGTTAATTATATAGAGAGGCATCCAACTGCCCATTTATAACTTGCGATTTCAAGACCATTATCGTGCCGGAATGGGGCCTGTGTTCGATAAACCTATGGCTTTTATTATTTTTTTCATTATAGTTATAAATCCTAAGCATAAGCGTAGCCTGCAATCATTCTTTCTTGAATCATTAGCGCCACAAAATTATTTAAAAGATATGTGCTTGCTTACTTCATAAACCAAAATTCCGGCGTCCAGACTGAGGTACCGCCTAGACATCCTACATGTTAGCCTCTCATTCACCTCTTGTCTATATTTAATTGTTGCGCCTCCGCTAACTCCTATGTGCAAAAGTTTCTGCGGTTTCCAAAGGCGCATGCACAGTACAGTCTAAAATTCGTGTAACATGCCGACAAATGCGAAAAATTGATACTCGTTCACTAAGCGGCATTGAGTAGAGTTCTTATACTGATAATAGCGTAGCCTATTCTGAAAACATTGCAGTTGTGCTAGGATGATCACTTTATATTAAACTATTTTTTGACCGCTAAAAACGTAAATGCCTGCTTAAGTA